TGGCTCTGAGGAAAATGTTTCTGTCAAAAGCTAACTTATGCTACCCTTTTCCCACCTGTTAATGGGGAGCTTATATTATAGAGACATTTTCCTTTTATATTTTTGCAGCTTATTCAAAAAATCTTTTATGATCTTTTACGATCATACTGATGAAAACATCACTCCAAAATGTTGTGGTCTTCACAGCCGTGTCTTTTGACTTGTAGATTATAGCCATTATTAAGTGAAGGGATTGAAAAGTAATGTTGAAACCCATAAATATTTTGCCTGTAATTTACAGAGTTTAGGGCTTTTTGAAAAAATTATTTTGTATAAACACAATTTACTCTCAGGCTGAAACATTGTATAAATGTTTCAGAACAGAGCAGGTCCTGAAATGTATTAGTATAAACTCATAGGGTATGTCTACACTGCAGTTAGAAACTCATGGCTGGCCAGTGCCAGCTGACTTGGGCTAAGGGGCTCTGGCTAAGGGGCTGTTTAACTGAGGTGTAGATATTTGGGCTTGGGCTGCAGCCCAACCTCTAGGACTCTCCCACTTCACAGGGTCCTAGAGCCCAGGCCCCAGCCTGAGCTCAAAACATCTGTACTGCAATTAAACAGCTCCTTAGCTTGAGCCCTGTGAGCCCAAATCAGCTGGTATGGGTCAGCCAGGGGTTTTTAATTGCAGTGTAGATGTACCCCTAGAAGCACAAGTGCCAAACAGTGATGAGTTGCCAAAATTTTAACAACCGGTTCCCTCCTCACCCCACGAGGGAACCGCGGACTGCCCCCACCCCCCGGGACCCCTGCCCCATCCAACCCCCTCCCCTGACTGCCCCCAGAACCGGGCAGGAGGGTCTCATGGGCCACCGTAGTGGGTGCCCACCACTCCCCACCCCTAAGAGCCAGAGGGACCTGCTGGGGGGCAAGGTGGGGAGACCCAGTGGTGCTTACCTGGGGCAGCTCCCAGGAAGCATCCGGCAGGTCCCTCTGGCTCCTATGGGGGGCGGGGGGGTAGCGTAGCTGGGGGAGCAGGGGGAGCGGCTGCTCCCCCCACCGATCACATCAAAAGTGGCGCCTTAGGCACGGACTCCCTGGGTACTCTGGGGCTGGAGCACCCACGGGGAAAATTTGGTGGGTGCAGAGCACCCACCAGCAGCTCCCCATCCCGCGCCCAGCCCCAGCTCACCTCACCTCCGCTCCGCCTCTTCCCCTGAACGCGCCGCCCTGCTCTGTTTCTCCGCCCCCCCGGCCAGGTTTTCCGAGAATCAGCTGTTTGCGCGGGAAGCCTGGGAGGGCTGAGAAGCAGGCGGCGGCTTCGCGCTCAGGCCCAGGGAGGCAGAGGAGAGCTGGGGCAGGGAGCGGTTCCCCTGCGCGCCCCCCGGGTTACCTGCTATGGTGCAGGCGGCCCTCCTCTCACCCCCCCCCGCCCCAGCTCACCTCCGCTCTGCCTCTGCCTCCCTGGGCCTGAGCGCGAAGCCGCCGCCTGCTTCTCAGCCCTCCCAGGCTTCCCGCGCGAACAGCTGATTCTGGGGCGCGGGGGGCGGAGAAGCAGAGCGGGGCGGCACGTTCAGGGGAGGAGGAGGAGGAGGCGGAGTGGAGGTGAGGTGAGCTGCGGCCGAGCGAGGAGCTGCTGGTGGGTGCTTTGCAAATTTTCCCTGTGGGTGCTCCAGTCCCGGAGCACCCACAGAGGTGGAGCCTAAGGCGCCACTTTTGCCCGGTTGTTAAAGTTAGAAGCCCTTTTAACAACCGGCTCCAGCTCACCGCTGGTGCCAAATCCTGTATTTCTTACTCAGCTGGCTACCCCTATTGCAAAATTAGGAGCCAAGGCCAAAATATTCAAATCTAGACACTGATTTGGGGTTTCTCAACTTCCAGGAGCCCAGCCTGCTACACCTTTAGGGTATGTATGGCCTGCAGCTGGGAGCAAGTCTCTGAGCCCATGGGGGACAGACTTTTGCTAGCGTGCTAAAAACAGCAGCATGGACATTGTGTCACCAGTGGCAGTATGGGCGAGCCACTGGGTACAAGCCACCCTGAGCCTCTGTGTCATCACCTGTGTGTTAGCTCAACCGAAGCTAGTGCGTGTCTGTCCACCCGGGATGGGAGGCACAGCCCCAGCTGCAGTGTGGACATATTCTTAAAGCCCCAGCAGTCAAATGTGAATGAGTAGCATTTCGGAAGATCAGAGGGAGCATGTCAAAATGGAGACACCCAAAATCAATGGTCCCTTTTGAAAACTTGCTTGGAGGTTTGCATTGGAATTTCAAAGGATCTCCCAAAACTGGGTGACTGGCAACAAAATGGCAGATGAAATTTAATGTGGATAAATGCAAAGTAATGCACATTGGAAAGCATAATCCCAACTATACATATAAAATGATGGGGTCTAAATCAGCTGTTACCACTCAAGAAAGAGATCTCGGAGTCATTGTGGATAGTTCTTTGAAAACATCCACTCAATGTGCAGCGGCAGTCAAAAAAGCAAATAGAATGGTGGGAATAATTAAGAAGGGGATAGATAATAGGACAGAAAATATCGTGTTGCCTCTATATAAATCCATGGTACATCCACATCTTGAATACTGTGTGCAGATGTGGTCACCCCCATCTCACAAAAGATATATTGGAATTGGAAAAGGTTCAGAAAAGGGCAACAAAAATGATTAGGGGTATGGAACGGCTTTCCTATGAGGAGAGATTAATAAGACTGAGACTTTTCAGCTTTGAAAAGAGATGGCTAAGGGGAGATATGATTGAGGTCTATAAAATCATGACTGGTGTAGAGAAAGTAGATAAGGAAGTGTTGTTTACTACTTCTCATAACACAAGAACTAGGGGTCACCAAATGAAATTAATAGGCAGCAGGTTTAAAACAAATAAAAGTATTTCTTCGTACAATGCACAGTCAACCTGTGGAACTCCTTGCCAGAGGATGTTGTGAAGGCCAAGACTATAACTGGGTTCAAAAAGAACTAGAAACATTCATGGAGGATAGGTCCATCAATGGCTATTAGCCAGGGTGGGCAGGGATGGTATCCCTAGCCTCTGTTTGCCAGAAGCTGGGAATGAGTGATGCGGGATGGATCACTTGATGACTACCTGTTCTGTTCATTCCCTCTGGGATACCTGGTATTGTCCACTGTCAGAAGACAGGATACTGGGCTAGATGGACCCTTGGCCTCAGCCAGTATGGCCATTCTTATGTTCTTATGATACAAGCTGTAGGGCCAATCCTGCTCCAATTTTTATAACTGTCTTCAAAGGTGCCAGACTGGTCCATTTACTATCTCAGTGTGACTGTCACAAGTATGGTAATACAAATCAACTGCTGACGGACTTTATACTTGCAGAGGACTGTGATGGCCCATTGTACCCATGGAAGTTTCTTGTTACTTTTAAATCTCTTCTTAAACAAAGTCATAGTTCTCAAAAAGCCATTTAGAGAGGGAGAGTAATATTTTCCCAACAATTATTGCAATCAGTGTAGGTATACAGCAACAACATATACCAAGGGTGGCCAAACTTACTGACCCTCCGAGCCACATACGACAATCTTCAGAAGTTCAAGAGCCAGTGTGCACCTGCCAGGGCTTGGGGTTTCTGCCCCATGGGAGGCACCTGCCAGGGCTTGGGGCTTCAGCCCCACTCCTGCTGAAGCCCTGAGTTCAGGTAGGTGCACCCCTCAGGGCTCGAGCCCCAAGACCCCCCTGGGCAGAAGCCTCTACCCCACCACCCCACTGCAAGTCAGAGGTCCCAAGCTTCCCCGCTAAGTCTGGTAGGTGGAGAATGGGCGGGGTGTGAAGGGCTCTGCAAGCCGCACTTTAACTATAAAAGAGCCGCATGTGGCTCACGAGGCATAGGTTGGCCACCCCTGATATATACAATATTAATAATCTTGGCAAACATTTTATTTAAAAAAATAGTGTTTGAAAAACCTCTTGCTTTGAAAATTCAGTCGGAAATGCCACACAATTATTTTCATTTTCTCGTTGCTTTTGAGATTAATTGAAATTCATTGTTTTAGACTAATTCACATAGTAGCAATTACATTTACTCTCCTGTGACAATACACAGCAAATTAAAATGCTCAGCTATTAGGTAATTTCTCCTTGATTAAAGTGTAGGAGTGGCCAGAAAGCCATGGTCAACAGACTAATCAAGCAATATGAGAATGAAAACCCGTCTTTGATGTTCCAGAAATGCACGTGGCTCTACGGCTGTTTCAACTTAATTTTTGCCATTAACAAAATAAAACAGTGTGTTAGTGTAATAGCAAAGTAGGGCCTGATTCAAAGGCCGCTGAAGCAGATGAGGGGTCTTTCCAATGATGTCAGCGGGCTTTGCATCAGGCCTATATATAGGAGCACCAGAGAACAGAACAATTGTTCAGGCACATCACATTTTGTGCTTCTTATATGTAATTGGATTTGACTATCCGAGATCAAGGAAAGAAAGGATTTAAATAGACATCCCCTGCAAGGTCCAGATTCTTCAGCTAGTATTAATTTGATGGCCCTCCTTCATTGCATCATCATGATCTGTTGTTATTACTATCACCAGATACTCACTTGTGTGTGACTTTGGACGTCTTTGGATGGATGTTGCTTAGAAAAACTAAATGTTTCCATATTTTCCCATTACAATGCAAAACCCTTTATTTCCTGCATTGAACAGGAAGATGTCTGAACATCATTATTCTTTATTTAAAGGATTTGTACACAGGGATAATAAGAAACCACCCTGCAAGAATTCATGCAAGAAACACACTACTGTTGGCCGTGATCATGCATTAGTTAAGGGGCCACTGTCACTGTTTCCCTGTATCCTCCCATCCCCCATTTTAGTTGTCTGCATACAACTATTGTTTCTTGTCTTGTATTTAGATTGTAAGGTCTTTGGGGCAATGTCACAGTGCAGGCTGTCCCGGCGCATCTGTGGTGGTCAGGTGTGGCAGCACAGGTGAGCCCTACCTTGATTTCCCTTCACCCCGGGGAATAAACAAGTACAAGGGGGTATCAAAGAGCACGGAGGGTCTTGTTTATTAAAAGACAGGCCAATACGAAGGATAATAAACCAAAAACCTTTGTCCCAGTGTCTTAGCTGGGACACAGAATCAGTCTTACTTTATTTATCCCACCATAGTCTACTGCTAGCTCTGTCCAGGCCCTTTACCAGCAGGGTTGTCTTCACTCAAGTCCCTTTTTTGGAGTCCAATCTTTTGCCACCAGCTGGGGAGAATCCTTCTCTGAAGATAGGGGTCAACCTGCCAACAGCAGCTCTTCTCAAGGACAGCCCATAGTTCCTGACTGGCTGGGCTTCCTGCCCCTGTTTTGGTGGAGATCCCTTCCATGGGACCAGGCCTTCCCGGTAGCATAGTTCTCCCCTTAAAGATCTCCTCTCTCTAGGAGCATAGGTGCTAGGCTCCTTCACCCAGTGAGCTCTCCTGCGGGCAGCTTGTTCTTAGAAGCATGCCTTCTCTCTAGAAGCACGTTCTCCCTGAGAGTACCTACCCTAACTAAGCTCAGGTAACCTTTTAACTAGGTCCATGGGTTTGTTTACCAATTAACCTTTGAGTAGCCACCTGGGTAGTCAATTACCCCCAGGTGGGGCTTCAGAAGGCAGTTGTGGACAGATTAGGCCCTGATTTCCCTAAAACAGGCCAGTCACCTTATGATGGGCAAGGACTGTCTTTTTGTTGTGTATTTGCACAGCACCTACTCAGTGGGTTTCTGGTCCATGACTGGGGATTCTAGGCACTATGTAATACAAATAATAAACATTACAAATCATTTAAAAAAACACCATTCCTGTTTTCCTAATAATGTGTACTTTTATTAAAAATGAGGGGAAAAATAAAATCTAAGTGTAAAATTCATCTCTCTTCAGAGAGTCAGCATCAAGCTCTGTGACCCATGTAAATTCTACCCAAATCCTCAAAGTTTAAATAGCACTCCCATGGTGTTAGATGTTTGTGCTGGCTTTGTGCACGGCAGTAAATTATACCCTGCATGTATATTTGTGAGAGTAAATATATTTAACTGAACATTAGCAGAAAGCAAACGCTAAGAGACATGGTCTGGTTGAAGTCAATTAATTTTAACATTCCAATGAATAATGGTAAAGGTTTTTTTTTAAATATATCACCAGCTTTGTTTAATATATCACCTAGAGATTGCCTAGATTAATAGCTACTTACTACAAATAGGCTGGAGATGAGCCTCTTTCCACATTGAAGAGAATTTGGGTCCAATTCTATAAGCGACCCATGTCTGGAACACAAACTGATGTCAGCGGGATGCTTGTGGAATGGAGCCCTTCTGTGTTTAAAAACTGAAGGCATCATCCTCAGCATGAATGGTTCCTTCGAGTGACAGAGCCCAAGGTCAGAAATGCTTTGGGGAAGGTGCCACACAAATTCAGTACTAACTATACCCATGGGCTCTGGTCTCCGGAAGCTGAGATCAGCTGACTGAACACATATGCAGTAGCATCTGCAGCTGGATGTATTTTTGATCAAAGGAGGCCCTAAGTGAGGCCAGGAGCGACCAACTTTCAATAGCAGAGCATGCACTTACATCACATACAGTAAGAGAAGGACAATTTTACCACCTATTCAAGGTAAAGAACTTCTTCCACCATCGGTACCATCCCTCCTTCTTAAGGAGGACCTCCATTTTAGACCTGGCTGCCACCACTACACTAATCTAGAGCTGTGCCTCTTAATTATGCTGTTTCTATACCAGCGATGGGCATGGCACATGGAACTGGGAGTTCCACACACAGAATGATTACTGCTTTTGACACAGCCATAATCATCAAAGTAAAACTGCAGGGCCAGATCCTGAGGTTTTCATTCAGTTTATACTCAGTGGAAACTGTTTGAATGAGGACTGAGTAAAAGCTAAGTATAGACCATGGGGATCTGGCCCATAGAAAACAATGTTCTAGATTTTCAAATAGCTTGAACACACCATTTCTTCTCCAAAACGCACATGCAGTTGACTACCTAGTTTGTATATGCAATTATATCATTTTTAAGTCCCGTTGCCATAATTATGTTTGCAAATTAGCTGTACATTTGCCACAGATTTGAGGCATGCAGTTGTATTCCTCCCCTACTTGAAAGTATGGCCTAATGTTCTGAGCCTATCATGTTATTGTCCTACAATATTATTTTCTTACGCTCTTCATTCTGTGTCTTTCCCACACCATGTTCCACATGTGGGTGCTGGTTGACAGGGAGTCATGCCAACATCTCAGATCTAGGAATAGGGATGACAATCGATCTCTTCCAAATAGTGTGTCTATATTTACAGCAAGTTCCAAGAAGCTCTTGTGCACTGTTCTTCTGACCTGCTGGTAATACAGGCCGTTCAAGACTGGCTTTGTGTGTTTGTGTGAATTGGCCACAGCCTCTTCCCAAGAAAGCATAAAATGCTATAAAAGCCACACCAGCAAGTATAATACCAGTTACCACCCTTGCTGGAGCCACCAAGAGACAGAAATATAAATGACATCAGCTACATACTCCACTCTTGTACTGAGGCCTATATCTGTATTTTATATTTGTATTTTGAATTCAAATTTGATCAGTCTATATTCACCCAGCATGTTGTACCCACAGACTGAGGAAGAATGTCAGACAGAGAAAGAATTAGCTAGCTTCTTCTTCATCTATATCCAAAGGTTATAAGCAGCATTCACCCTCTAATTACAGCTACAAGTAACAGTCCTTCCAGTTATTTCTCTGTGTTTTTCCATTTTGAACAATTTACTTATTATTTTATTTTGATAGCTTTTAGAGCTACCACTGCAAAAGAGTGAGCAGTAGTCTCCAAACTGTTGTGGCTTAGCACAGCTGCAGATCTGAAAAAGAAAGAGACTGTTGAAATAAACACCTTGGACCAAATCTGGACATTTGTACTTAGTTTTTCTTTTGGGTAAAAAGTTTTCAAAAGTGCCTAAAGTCCCATTTTCCAAAGTGCCTAACTCCAATGGACTTTCAGGGAAAGTTAGGTGCCTAACTCATTTGGCAATCTTGAAAATCCCAACCCCGAAGTGCCGAAACCACTTTTGGGAATGGAAGTTAGAATTCTAAGTCACTTACCCAGGCAACATGTCCACTGAAGTTAAAAGCTGAGTGAGACTTTAAGATTGGGCCCACTATTAATTTTGTCAGATTTTCATGTAACACAAAAAGTAATTGTTTTGCTTAAATCTTGCACTCTGTCCACTTTTGTGAAACAGCAAAACCTTAATCTTTTTATTGGTCAAGAGTAGAATAGAAATGGATTGTTTTTTTAGCTGTCCAATTTGTGCAGTTATGTTTACTTTCCTGTAACAAAATAAACTGCAATCCCTAACTGTCTGTTAATTTCTGCTTGACGAAGGCATGCAGCTGAATAGAAAGGGGGGCTCCAATAAACTGATGAAGAATAAAGTTTGATGTTACTGATGCATATAGATTTTTTCTAGGCAGTAATTCAAATAGTAGCAACTGTTTGTGGAAAGTCTTTCTACAAGAGGGAAAAAGTGAATAGCAGGGAAAAAAATTTGAAGTGGCCATGCAAAAATCAGTCATGGACATCTGGACCACCCTTATTCATCTTAGGAAATGTAACACTAGTTAAGCCTCCAAGTGAAAAGAATCAATTCCATATTCTGTCTTCAGCAGATCAAAGGTCCCCCTCTAAATTTCAGGCTGCCATTTACTCATAGAACTGGTATCTTGGTTCAGTACCTCACAAACCTCTGTGCTGCACCATGTCTGGGGCCCAATCCTTCAAACCCATGCTGTCTGCCTGTCTATAGAAACAAGGTGGGTCTTGTCTCTCTAATATCCTGGGACCGACATGGCTAAAACTACACTATCTGCTTGTCTAGGCATATACCAGTGTGATATCTGAGCACTCATTGACAATAATACAACCACTTCCCTGAGCAAAGTGACCCTACGATAACAATGCAGTAGCTAGGAAGAAAGGGAGGTTGTTTGGGGATATGGAAGAAGGTGCAAAAATGAGTAGAAGGAGACACAAAGGATAGCATCTATCTACTCATACAGCACACATCACCATAGTCTCTGAGCACCTCAAAATTATGACGTTCCCACAGATAGGCCCCAATCCTGCAACTTCATCCTGGGCAGGTGATTGGGGCTCTGCGGCGCCCTCCCGCGCAGATCCAGTTGTAGGTTTGGGAGCCTACATTTCCCTCTTCTTCAGAGTTCAGGGACTAGATTCCATTTTTACTGTTATCGATGGTGGTGCTGGCGTTATAGGGAGCAAAGAAATAGGTTTGGCGTTTAGGTCTGAAGGAGCTGTGGCTTGTGGTCACTCAATGTCTCCTGGGAACAAATTCCAGATTTGAAGGCCAATCACAGAGAAAGACCTCTCTCTCCTCTGTGCACAGCCCTGATTCCTGAACTGGGTAGTTCCATTGTTGCCAGCATAAAATTAAACTGTCTGAGATACTAAGCTTGACATACTGGCTTCTGTGTATGTACAGCATCTCTGTTTTTTCCTAAGGATTTTGCAAACTTTCTACACATGCACAGTATGGTGGATAGACTTATAGCACTGCCTTATTTTGAAATACCTAAACTGTCATTGATGTGATGGACTATATTGGCTCCAAAGTACCAGTGTTATTAATGGGAAATTCAGCTTGATTTAAGGCTGAAATGTAGGTTTTTGTAAAAACAAGGTTTTACAAAATCTAAGATCAGTAGAAGTGTGTCCATATATATATTTTAAATTCCAATGAAAATAGGTTTTTTTCCCCTTTCGACATTCCCTTTTAGTGCTTTCAGTCCAAACTCTGAGGCATTGGGCTAGTTCACGAAAAGGGCTATAGGATGTGAAACTGACTAGTCTATTTTCATCATCCAGGCTGGGTGAAATGCAAAAAGTAAATTTCAGAATTAATGGTCAGTAGTAGCATTTAAGGCAAAGTCCTGGCCCCACTGTAGTCAACGACAGAACTTACTGTATATAGGATTTTTCATCAAACATTTCACAATGGAGGTTAAGTATCATTATCCCTATTGTACAGATGGTAAAATGGAGACATAGAAGGTACATCGACACTGCAATAAAAGATCTGTGTCATGGCCGCAGCTGGCCAGGCTCAGCTGACTTGGCTTATGGGACTCGAGCTGCTGGGCTAAAAATTGAAGCATAGACATTCAGGTTTGGACTAGGACTAGAGCCTGGGCTCTGAAACCCCGTGAGGGAGGTGGGTCTTAGAGTCCAAACATCTATACTGCAATGTTTAGCCCCGCAGCCTGATCCCTGCAAACCCGAGTCAATTGACCTGGGCTCAGGCTTGATCTGCAGGTTTTTTATTGCAATGTAGATGTTCCCAGAGGGGTAAAATGAAGTATCCAAGGGAAGTCACACACCATGCCAGGAATAGGACCCCTGACTCTTCTTGCTGTTCCTTCTCTGTTGGACCATGCTGCCTCCTGATTTAGGCCCTTTTAGATTTGCTATTGTAAGGATTAAATATAACACAGGTAATGATTTTTTAAAAAAATGCTTAAGACCAGATTCACTGTTTAGCCTGGACAATGTTCCTTTAAGTCCAAAGAATCTATTGTACCAATAATCCAGATGGTAACAATCCCTAATAGACACCATTCAGTGCAGGAAGGACATACTTTTAGCAATTACAGAAATAGTGGACCACTTACAGATGGCAGTATTTAGCGGAGTTTGTTTGGGTAATCAGTCAGCTGTTTGGGGCAGTTGCTAGTTGTTACAGGGCAGCAAAGAAAGACACGCTGTACAGATGTGCAGAGTGATCAGAGGTCTCAATGACTAATGCATACCCAGGAGCCAATGTATCAAAATAATCTATCAACCACTGCCCTCAAAATACAGCCCCCATCTCCTAGCCTGTTTTCCCTTTTGAAATATGCTTTGAAAATGCAATGATTGGTTTGAAGAATGGCAGGTGATGTGAAGCAGCAGAAATGCACAGTATAAGTCAGTCACCCCTGAAAAGCTGATGAGAGACCACTTTGCTAATATTATCATCATTGAATGGCACAGTGGAACAAAACTCTGGATGTATAAGGACTGCAAGTATAAGACTCCCATTAAGGTTAAGCATAAGCTTACGTGCTTTGTTGAACAGAAATGGAAGTAAGCATGTGATGAAGTGCTTTGCTGAATTGGGGCATGAGTGCATAATGGTCAATATACACAGGCCTCTGTAAGGACTGTTCTTATTCCTAGCAGAATATTACATGGGATGGGTCCATCCCAAGCAATGAACAGGTGCATATTAACACAGCTTTCAGAACAGACATGACTGCTGGGGCAATTTATGATGCTTTCCCAAGTAGCTTGAATTTGGCTGGTGGCCTTTGTAATTTATCTTCACCAATATCGTTATGTGCCCTGAGAAACATTTTTCTTTCCGAATCTAAAAAAATTACCATCAGTTCAAGAAGCAGAAAACAACCCTTATTATAATGGCCCTGGACCCAGGACCACAGTAAGGTTTGGATTTTTAACATGCTCAGAGGTGTTTTAACAGCTGGCTTATGGTTACTACAGCCGCTGAGCAAACATGAAGGTTATTTTACCTTTCTTTATTGATGGCCCAGGCTCCATCTTATTTCCTCTCTCTGGGCAGACTGGCAGTGGCTGTGCTTGGAGCCACCAGGCCGCTCAGTCACTCTCACAAAGTGGTGCGACTGGTTCTGCTTAATTTTGTACTAAAGGCTGGAAAGGGACAAGAGTTGCATGATGATATGGAATGAATGCACAATTGTAATCTATCCATCTAGCCAAGGTATTTATATGGCACCCATTGCCTAGGTTTCTAGGCTTGGAAGAGGATGCTCATTAATAATGAGAACATCCTAGCCCAAGGAATAGACTGGATGTGCGGTATGTACATTTGTACTCAGCAGCAAGCCACATGTTGGCATAATGTTACTGCGGTTGTGCAGGCTACATTTATACCACTTCTGATGAACAGGTTACTTGGAGATAGTCTCTCCTCCCCCCACCCAGAGCTAGCAGTGCTGTGGATCTAGCCTTGGAATAAAACAGCCACTTTCCACATTGTTATTCCCCTCCCTGTGCCGTGTGTGAGCAAAAACCGAAGACAACTGGAGTTGCCACTGACCTCAAGAATCCAATCCCCAGACTGGAGTAAAATGAGACCTGCTCTCTAAATTCTAATGAGGAATCAGGGGCTTTTTGGAGGTGTCAAGTGCTACAGAGTATGACTGCGCATCTCAGCTCTTCCATCGTCAGCAGGGGTAATTGTGACAATGAAAATAAACTTGGGATTCCAGAGATCATGGAGGAAGGAGATCTGACCGGTGTAGTGTAACCTCTGTGATGCTGCCAGCCATCTCCAGCTGAGAACCAGCATCTCTCTTTTACCCAGGTTTGCTGAGGAACAAGAAACCGGACTCCCCTCAGATTACATAAAGGCATGGGGTTGCAAAGTCAATGGGATTCTTGGGAGCTCAGCCCCTAGTTGGATAGAGCCCACTGTGAATGAAAAACTTGGCCCAGATTTGAACCAACAGCCCTCCTACCTCCCGTCCCTTTGCTGTAACCACCAGACCACAAATGTCTTTCCCACTCTCTGCTGTTAAGACGGAAGCTTCAGTTTTCAAGTTTGGAGAAATGTGGTGAGCTGAGGGCAGGAAGGATCTGTCATTCATGCAAAAACGTAGGCTAGAGTTTCCAGATATATTTTAATTTCAAATTTCTTTCTTTAATACCAATAGGGTCTGAGAGGCAGGAGAAGGCTCCTACTCCTGTGATTCTCACAGCAGTGGGATAGCTCCTCTCCTTGCTTTCCAAAGTGTCTGTGAAAACAAATGATATGCTTGTAAATTCCCTTGCCCTTTGGAAATCAGAGGCACCTTGCACAAAATGGGAAGCTGGCTCATTTTCTACCCTTTCTTGCTTTCCCAAAAAAGGAACCTTGAATTAATGTGCATTCCTGATAAAGGCAGTGATATAAATCACACCGGCTTGCTTTCACATTGAGATGTGAAGCCAGTTCTCTGCAGTGTCCTGGAGGGCGCGTATTCTCAACAAGTTAAAATGAAATGAAATGAAACCTAAAAAAGTCACTCCTGGTGTGTGTGCTATGCAAACTGCAGTGATGATCTCTGAGGAGGTGAGAGAGCACATGAGCTTGATCTGCTTCAAATCTTTACTTTCAAACACTCGAGAGTCAATTATAAAATGTGCCAAGGGGGGGAAAAACGTGTTAACCTTTTCATTGTGTGGTTGTTTCCTCCTCATTGCATTTACATTGGCCTTGAAGAACTGGGACATATTGCAGATGGCTTAGGGTCTATAAATTCTTATTTGAACCATCACGAGCCAAGTATAACAGGTAGCAGTCCAGACTTGTCTAAAAAGGATAAACCTCAGCTAAGTGTGTAAATAATACTCTGGTGCTTTTTATCATATAAACACACACACTGAGCCAGCCAGGTGCCCTAAAAGGCCTAGTCACATTTCTCTATTGTTATCTTATAAAGTGCATTAAGTATGTACACTGGGACTTTAGTGGGTATTATTTTTTAAAAGCTACCTCTCACTGAAAAGCTCAAACCAAACAAACAGATTGAAGTATTGTGACACTTATTTTAGGGAGCTCTGAAGTTGACCATTAGCTGACTAGACAGTTATTCTCACTCTGCAGGTCAAAATATTCTCCCGCCTTTCAGGAGAAAGCCATGAGAAATTCACCTGCAGGATGTGGGGCCATCAAAGGGAATCTTACGTCACCACTAGTCTGCTGGATAATGTCATTTACTTGTACAGCACTATACAGGGGAAGGGGCAGGAGCAATGGGTGTTCTCTTGTGGTGTGAATCACGACAAATAAAGCACTTGTAACCTTCTGTTCCAGTTGGGAGAAATCCTGAGTCATCTCTACCCCAGTGTCCCAATGGAGAAAACAACAACCCTAGCTGCCTTAAGGGTGTTCTGAGAACTAATGAGTAAATGTTATCTGCTTTGCTTTGAAGATGAAAAGGGCTCTGTACATGCTAAGCATTTTAATTAGAGAATGAAAGAAATAGAATCTGCATCTTCTGTTTGTTTTCTGCACTGGGGAATCTCTGATACCCAAGAATTTCCCCACAGTTTCTGTTTGTTTTTTATCCCCTTTTTGGTCCCCATTCCCCAGGCTCAGGCATCATGGCAAATGTGATGACAAGCCAAGGAGTGTTGAATGTAAACAACTCCCTCCAGAGTTTCTCAATGAGATTCTCTGCAGTTGCAGTCATAAGGGACTTGAGTGTTTTTACTACAGATTCCTAGCTAGAAGGAGTTTATCATTCAGTTATAAACATTTATTATTGATTGAAACTTGACAAAGGAAGTCTCAGATTGGGGAAAGCCATTTTACAGACATTGAGAAAGATCACTGTGTTTGTATGTTAGCTCTGTCCAGCCACAAGGAGGAAATGTCACAAGTGACCCATCCATAATAGTCAACATTACTGGCATGAAGAGGAAGAGGCGAGGAAGATATTTTTAATTGTGCATGTTCAATAATTGTTTTGTTATGATTTGTAGTGAATGCCCAAACTTTTATTTCTTTGGGGCCTGAACTTCAAGGGCAGAGTTGCTACTGCTCATTGCCAGGGCTGGCTGGGGATGCAAAGTGTGTAGTGGAGGAGTCCCTCCATTCATCTGAGCAGAATTTTCAAGGCTGGAGAACTGGATAGCTCTAGATCCCTGGCTTTCCTCTTCTTTTGTATGCTGACCCTTCCACCCACCCACTCTACTTCCTTGCTGGGCTGGAGGGAGAGGGGAGAATACTTGGAGTTCCCAGACCAGATTTTTGCCCTGCAACTTGGGTTGTCATTTACCAGTGTAAAATGATACTAAATCAAAATGGTAGTGTCCTGCACCCACTTTGCACTGATGTAAATGACGACACAGGGTGCAAGGCAGTAGGGGCATGCAAAGCAATGTCTACACCACAGGGATAATACTGACATAGCTAGAGTGCCAGCATAACCCTGTGGTGTAGATGCAGCCTACACCAATGGAAGGGGGTTTTCTATCAGTGTAGGAACACCACCTCCCCAAGCCCCTGTCACTAGGTCAATAGAAGCATTCTTCCATTGACCTAGCTGCATCTACACTGCGGGTTAGGTCAGCATAGCTTATCTATATATCATTCAGGGGTGTGGATTGTTCACACCCTTGAGTGACATAGCTATTTTAAGTGTAGGCCAGGCCAAACTAAGACTGAAGGCCTGATTCTCCATTGCCCTGCACCTTATATTGGCATTGACACTAGTACAGAGTGTGTAAAATGCTACTAAATCAGAATGATGATGGTTTGAACCCACTTTGCCCTGGAATAAGGCAGTAAAGGACTTTGGAGGATCTGGTTCCAGGGTCCCATTGGAACTATGGGGTCATTGCAATAATATACTTCCCTTGGCATGCTTTGCTAGTTCAAACAGGAATTAGTTCAGAGAAGTCCTATGGCCTGTTATACATCAGGTCAGACAAGATGATCACAATGGCCTCTTCTGGCTTTATAAACCTTGGACAACAGCATACATGGTCCAGACTTATATGATCATCAAAAACCAGCCACATTTATGTCATTCCGATAAGAAGTTAAACTGAAGTCCTGGCCATCTGCAGTAATTAAAGATTCCCCACCAACTTTAGGGAAGTTCAGACTGATGTCCTGGCAAAATTCCAACTAGGAGAACTATATTCTTCCTACCTAAAGCCTCCCTGCAGTTTTAGTTGGATATAGTATACTTCTCATCCTAATGTTATTGTGTGCTGTGGAACTGCTGCCATGCTCTATCCAGACATGTCTTCATTTGAATGGTTGCAGAAGTGATCCTTTAAAATAAAACGTGTATATCATTTTGTTATGTTTGCAAAGTCCTTCAGGATCTTTGGGGATGAAAGGAGCCATATGAATGAAACATTATTATTATTACTCTGTTTTATAATAAAGTCTTAGAGAATCTGTTACACGTGATGGTGATAGTTTTCAAACACCTGTGTAAGAAGCGGTTTTAAAATTGTTTTTTTTTAAAAATTACTGCCAAAATATCCCAAAAGAACTCTGACGGTAGTAAGACCATATTAGAGTCAGTTTAGAGAGTACATTGAAAGCATTGTATGTGAGAGATCAGATGCACAACTTAAAAGTGAGATGGTTGTTCTTATAGAGTTATTTGCACCGTAATTTTTCCAAAGTGATGTGATTGTTTTTAGTTGAATGGATTTCCAACAGTGGCATGTCAAAGCTGCTCCTTGCAAAATTGCTCCTTTTTCTTTAACATCATGGTTAGCTGGTTTGGATTTGTTTTTTTCTGCTAATGTGTTAGCTAAAAGATACAGCTGTGAGTGCGGTGATTTGGACTAATGACTGGGAGAGCCATTGTGAATTATTGGATTTTGTGACTTTGTGAAACAAATACAATAAAATAAACAAAAAGTGCTTGCACCACAAAATGGACTTTGTTAATTTATTTGGACAAGTGTAATGTAGTTTTAATGATTTCTGGTTGTACTTCAGATTAGACTTCATAGTAAAGGAACTGTGTGTTATTTTGTTAAAGTAATGAAACCTTTAGTAATATGAAAGCTCACTGCAGTAGCCTGAAGTCAGTGAAACCACACCTGTGAGCACGATTGGGCTCTAGGTTTTGTTCCCCTTATTCAGTCAAATAGTCTGGGATTACTATTGTCACTATGGGAAATCCAGGATCTAGCCCTAAACGTTCCCCAACCGTGGGGAGGAGATCGGCTCAGGACGATCAATATTTTGGTTTAAGCCTGATGAAATGAAGCCTGATGAAATGTATCTATTTCCTAAATATGGAAGGCTGTTTTATGTTTCAGTCTGGAAATGCGCACGGCTAAACCTTAGCCTTTGGTGCAGACCCTGGAACGACTATTACACTCTCAGAGTCGCTATATCTTGGCCTCTCCCCCCTCACCTCTTCCCCCGATAGGTCACCCACTGTTTGACTGTAGCTAAGGGGTAGAAAATGCCTCCAGTCACACCTTTCCTCAACCGTTTGTGTCCGGCCCATTGCTAGTCACGGACAGAACGGAGGGGATTTGTCCGGGACGAGTTGAAATCCAGACTGGTGTTTTATTTCATCCAAGAGCGGGTCCCAACCCACCGATTCACCCTGAGCTGTGCGGCTGGGGAGGGTCAGGAGAGGAAAGGGGGGGACCGGAGCTCTGGTTCAGACGCTTCCCCAAATGGAAGCGCCAGGCTGAGGCACTTTTGGACTGACCCTAAGTCAGTGGGAGTCTGACCACAGCCGGGGTCCCGGTCTCCAGGGCTCTGCCAGGGCCGTTTAAATGGCCTGGACTCTGCTTGGTCAGCTCAGGGTCTCCCGATCCCACCGAGGGCGGCGGGCGAGTGGCCCGGCGCACGGGGATGGATTTCAGCCCGCCTCCTCCGGGGCAGCGCAGGGGGCTCGTTTGACAGCCCAACGCCTTCCAGCCCCGGGCGGCCGCTGCTCCTCTGCTCTCCCCTGCGCAGGGGGATCACGCCTCGCTCCTCCCTGCTGGCCACCAGGACACACCTCCCCCGCAGAGCCATCGCCCGGCCGGCGGCGGGCTGCCCACCCAGAGCCCCCGCGCCTCTGTCCCGGGGCTCCCGCAGCCCCACGCCGGCCAGGGCGCGCTCGCTCGGGCAGGAGAGACGCCCCGGGCTCCTTGCAGCCGGAGCTGCGGTCTCGGCCGGGAGCTGGAGGCGGGTTGGGCCAAAGGCAGCAGAGCCCTGTAGGGAGCTGCGCGCTGCATCCCCCCCCACCCCCGGTTTTTTAAAAATGCGGGTGGAAAAACAAACCTGTGTCTGGCGTGGCGCCTCCCCTTCCAGCCCGGCGCGCTGCAGAAATGCCCCTTTGCAGCCGCTAGACCCGGGGGAGGTGGCGAAGCAGAAAAGGTGGGGGGCGGGCTGTTGGCGGGGGGAGGAGGTGGCCCGTCCCCAGTCACCCACGGGACCTTCCGCGGGTGGGTGGGAGAGGCAGCCCTGCAAAGGGAAGGGGCGCGGCCCGGTGCCCAGGGGCGGACGGGCCAAGCCGGGGCAGATCTCTGTGCCTGGCCGGGGGGGGGGGGGGAAGCGAGTTGCAATGTGCAGCGGCAGATGGGGTTAAGACGAGGAAGTCTCCACCTCTTCTGGCAGCTTGCAGCGGTAGCTGCCCAGCTCCGTCCGAGCTGTCAGCGGCGCGGGGGGCTCCGCCGCGCAGGCATTCCGGCAAAGCGGGGGCCGAGCGGCGGCCGCTCGGATCCGAGTCCTGCCGAGAGAGACACGGGGGTGGGGGTGTGGTTAATGAGCCCCCTCGCCCCGCTGTCCCTCCTGGCGAGCGGCACGAAGGCAGAATAACCGCGGAGCTCCGGGGCAGCCTGTGCTGGGTCCCCCACTCTCCCCCCCCCACACACACACCTGGGCAGATGAACTTCTAAGGGCTCCTACTAGCCCCACATGGCTCCGCGGCTTCCCCGCAGGGTCCCGCTCCACTGAGCATCGGAGCCAGCGACCTGCCCCGGCCAGCCAGCGGGCTCCGTTCCTCCTCGGCGGGCAGGTGGGAAGGAAGCCGGCTGGATACCACCATGGGCCAGTCCTGGTGCTTCATTGGGCTGCTGCTAGGTAGGTGACACTTCGGGGCCGTGCACTGGAGGGACCCGGGGGCGGGTGGGTTCTGGAGAGCGGCGGCAGGGATGTGCCCCCCACCCCCCTAGATAAGGGCCTGCCAGGATCCCGGCTGGGTCCTTTTGGCCTTCAGCTTCCTCCCCGGCTCTCTCTGGGGAAGACCAAGTTCCTCTTTCCTCCCGCTTGATGCCCGAGCAGGGCGGCTGCGAGTTGGCACCAGAACCTCGGACCCCCGGCCAAGCCCTCCCCAGCCCCGGCATCTCAGCCAGGGGCCCGGCGAATCTGCCTGGTTTCAGGGCCCCGGGGGGCCCTTTCCTTCCCGCGAACCCAGCGGGCAGCGCTCCCCGGGGTCGGATCCGCGAGAGGGCTCAGAGCGCGGGGACCTTTGCTGCGCACGGGAAAGCGGCGCTCAGCGGACTGGACGTGCACCCAGGCCGGCGTCCTGTCCCCTTCCAGCTCCGATCTTGTAACCGCTCGCCAGACATTCAATAAAAGAGCCGGGTTAATGACGAGGAAGAGCCGGGGGACCGTCCAACCCCCTGAAGTGGCTGGTGATGGCGGGAGGGGACTCTTGGCTTTATTGGGGTCCCCCGATCTCCCCAGGCCTGTCTCGCTCTAAGAATGACCCGGGGATGGAGGGTTTCCATCCTTTGATTTGAAAGGACTTTGCGATGCTTTTTAGAGCTATTTCCAGCGTTTCTTCGGCACGAAAGACAAGTGGTGGGGGCTGGAAATGCCTAAGTGGACCGGGACCCAGTACTGATCTGCTCAGGGATAGCTCGTGGAGGGGAGCCTTTCACCAAAGCTTAACACAGAGACGAGAGGCAGCCTCTGGCTCCCGCCCAAAGCTCCCTTACTGCTGCTGATCATCACCCCGCAGACCGCCTTTGCAACCGTCCCTCTAATGATCTTTCCTTCCCGCCCCAGACAGTGGAGCAAGGTAGGAGGCTGAGCCCCAGTGTGTAACTCTAGCAAGGGCTGGGAGACTTTTCCTGATGCTATTTTCAGCCGCCAGGGCTGGAGTTCCAGGAAGAAGCTCAGAAGCACCTGGCTTGGAGGTGAAATACATCAGAAGTATCTCACTTCTCCAAGAGGAGACACATCGCTTTCCCCACTGACCTCTAGGGTAGCTCCTAGACACTCCGAGCCTGGCTGCCGGTATATTTGCGCCCCACCTTTAGAACTGGCAAGGTTCACACCTCAACCGCCAGAGCTTCAGCAAGAGATGTCTTTGGATGCTCAGAGCTAGAGAACATAGACAGTCGTGCTGGTGAAGAAAAACAGCAGCACAGGGCTACATGATTCCCCATTAAAAAGAAGTGAGCCTGTGGGAGGGAAACTTTCTTTATCGCCCCTGCTTGGACAGCATGTTTCCCTGAAGAACACCAGGGATACTCAGCTGAAACTGTTTGTCCATGTCCTGTGTGACCTCCTCAACAGATAAAAGGCAGAATAAAATATAGCATTGAAAGGAGAACGGGTGATCTTGAGGTTAAGGTGCTAGGCTGGGCCTGTTACAGACTTCCTCTCTGTGACTTAAGTTTCTTAAGTTTCTTCCTCTGAAAAATGGGGAGAAAAATATGACCTGCCTCTCAAGGGCGATTGGAGGCTCAGTTCATTCACACTTGTCAAGTACTTTGAGCTCAATGGGTGAAAGGCAATATACAAGTTCAAAGCATTTAAAGCACTAAATACAGTCAGCAAGAACTCAACCCGGCCTTTTAAAATACTTAGTGGTGAGACGATCTGATTTTGTGTGCCATCTGTCAGAACTGCCTGATGGTGATGTTTAAAGGAATGCACCATCAGACCTTAATGTGTAAACAAGATTAAAGCTAACAGGGGACTGACCAATTGCCCATCCAGCTGTACCATCTCAGCTGAGCTTCCCAGCCTTCGAGTTTTGATCTGAGCTTTAGATTCAAACCAAACACATTTAATAAGATAACTGAAAATGGTAAAAGGTGGATACAGAAAGATACCATTCTTACCCCACCTTGCCTGTGCCCAAACTCCAGAAACAAATGACTTTTGTCGCCCTCCTTACCAGTTTATAATCTGTAGCTCCAGTATTTAAAATTGATGGCAGCATTTTGCTGCTAGTGCAGGGGAACTGAAATTCATCAACGGTGCATCATTAAAAGATGATGCTCCAAAAAGCATGGATTGTACATAACTAAACTAAACCTTCACATCTCACAGAATATAAACTGGTAAGCAGGGAGTGGCTGTATGCATTGTATTTTTGATGTCTGGCAGCCCTGTTTGTTTGGATAAAGAGGGTTATACAATAAATTAGCCCTTTCTAGCTGTTGATTTCTCAGTGTTATTACCTTTGCAGTACATTTTAGGATTAGGAAGGTAGGGATTTTTAAAAATTATTATCAATATTTTGGGGATGTGCCTTAGCAAAGGGGTGAGAAAACCAAAGGGACTGTATAACAGCCTTGCATAGGTGCTTTCTAATTTCGAGGTTGATTTTCACAGAGGTTGTATATCATCCATGAAAACCTTGTTTTTATAAATGACATGTGCTACGTTGTGGGCAAATAGAGGAACCCACTGAAAGTAAAACCTCTTTCAAAACTTGGTTCTGCCAGATGCAGCCTTTTCTAGAACTGGATTCCAGCTTTGGTTTTCTCCATAGCAGTTTTTGGCTTTTGAAAATTTCCTTACTCAACAATTTGTGCTTGTGGGGAAAATATAGAAACCACAATATATTTTTTCATGTATGCTCTTTTTTTTCTTTTTACATCTCAGCCCTATCTTTATCCATATCCATATACTTTGCAACATGGATAAGCTATCATTATGGAAAGAGCAAACAGAGTCAAATCGCAGGATCATAGCACATTAGTTGTTGATTTTTTGGGTAGCTTTGAAATAAAGAGTAAAAAACAAAACAACCCAGCAAACAGACAATACATTAGCAAGCAAACTTGGTCTATTTTAAACATGTCCAGAAGGCAGTATTGTTACTTTGTCAGTAAAATATTGTATAAACTTGGTATTATCTTTTTTATGGGATTCGCTTTCTAATCATATAATTGAACTCAACTGTTGATCTTATCTTAGTCGTGACCCCATAATTTTCAAACTTAAAAATAAACAGTGAAAGGCAAGAAGTTCTTTTCTTTAAAAACTGGCTAGGTTCTAAACCATTTAAGAGAAGCTACCCATGGAAAATATCGGTGCGGTGTATTGGAATGTAAAAACTTTAATGAAAGTTTAGACAGAAATTGAGCAAGCCTCTTATGCTCTTACGTTTCCAAGAATGAGTGGTTCTTTGGTGAAGGAGGATCAGAAATCAGAGTCAGTTACCTAACTCAAAGAAAGGAGATTGATTTCTATTATTAGTTATTATTCCCTGGGCCCCCTCCTTACCTTCAGCATTATACAAAAGAGAGACCCAGCTCTGGGCCCCATTGAAGTCAATGAGTGACCTTCCATTGACTTTAATTAGTTTAGGATCTGGCCTGAGTTGTCTACTATATATTTTAAGGGTGCATTTCTGCTCTTATAGAAGTCAATAGAAGTTTTGTCACTGATATCAGTGGGAGAAAGATTGGGGCCTAATTTAGATTAAACTATGAGAAATTGCACAAGGATTTAAGCAAGCAGTGTTCAAAATAGAATGACTGAAGTGGGGGAACTCTTGTAACGGGCACCACGGATCTGAGCAGGGGAACTGAACAAAGGAAATATATGGGAAAGGAAGAATGCATATCTCAACCTGCCAAGACCCAAATGTGGGATGCAACATGTCACAAAGACCCTGAATGAGGACACTACAAGTGTTCTTGCAAGAAACTTAAAATGCTGCTGGATTCATTCTTTTAAAGTAAATAACTTTTTTCATAGGCCCAGCTTCATGATCCTTTATTTCTGATGTAAACAATGTTCAAGAGTAAAAGTGAGTAGGTAACTTTTTGACTCAATTAAGTGACATCAGCGAAATGAGGGACACTGCAGAGCTATGGAAGAATAAGTTCTGCAGAACAGGTCCAGTTGGTTCCCTGATTAACTCCTCCCTTTAACTCCTTTTTTCATATGTATTTGTAACCAATCTCATCCAATCTTTTGCTTTTATCAGCACAAAGATTTTTTACACTAACAGATATGCCAGGTCATACAGCTTCTGGTAGAAAACATTTGCAGGCACTTAGCTCTAGTGTACTTTTGCTCACTTTGAGTATTGGTAATAATAAAGCTATGTCCTGCCATTGAAACATGCAAAACATCCACTGCCAATAGACGTCATATTCTGTCATCAGTCAATTCCCCAAACAACCACTGAAGATTCACTCACAACTCTCACTGAAATAACTTTAAGCACTGAACTCTTGGCCCCACTGAAGTGAAAGGCAAAACGTACACTGAGCCAGGACTTCACCCTGTATCTTGGGATCAGTTCACACCAAAAACTCCCACTGGCATCAGTGGAATTCACCTCAGCTCTCACACTGAAGTCCATGAGATATGGGTGCAGATCACTGGCAGGTTATGGCTTTAAAGAGTTTTTATTTCCCCTCTTGAAACAAAACACGATACTTTGTTTTCCATGTTTTTCATAGAATTTTTCAATTAGGCCACCTGGAAAAGGCCAATGAAAATATAGATGACAGCAGAAATTTGTGTCAAGAAAGTCCTAAACTTTTTTAATTTTCAAGTAGTGCAAGTCCTCTTATTAGATTATGAAGCATGTAGGTTGAACGTCAGCTTTAATTTCAGCATCTGTCGGCAGCATTTGAGAGAACTGGACTGCATCAAAAGTTGGCTAATGTTGACAGGCAAAACAGTAGACTAAAATTTCAAACTAGCTAGAAACCACACCCAGACCCCGAAAAACACATGTTAAAAACAACTCTGATTCTATGCTTTAACTGAATGAGCAACCATTTTCTGTGGTCACTCGTGACTGAGTTAAAGATGTTCCCTTGTGTCTTTATTTCGGTATGCGTTACTGGTCTGGTGGCATGTATCAGTTTACTACCTTA